AACAGCCTCCCCCAACTTGGTCCTAGATGCCTCTTGCCACGAATACTGGAAGTTGTGATCAAAACAGTAGGAGGCCACGAGGATGCGAATAGCTGTTCTAAAAGTATCAACCAAAAGGCAGTGTGGTACAGTGGCTAGAGGGCAGGATTCAGACTTAGGAGAGGCAAATTCTAGTCCCAATTTGTCCATGAATCTAACTTCGGGCCAGGGACCGAGTCTGAGTCTAACTGACCTTACAGGATTGTTGTGAGGATAAAACAGAGGTGGAGGACAACTGAAGCCACCTTGGGTTCCTTGCAAAAGGTAGGCTATAAATGCAGTAAGAATTAAACAGCCTGAGATACGTCATTCAGACCCTACACGGTAGTATCAGGTGAAGAATGCTCTCTCTCCTTGAGCCTGGCTACTGTCTTCCCAGTCTAGCTTTCTGTATGAAGATGATTTGTGTCCTTCAAAATAGCATTTAATAAAGCTGTCTCAGACTTGGCATCTGGAGAGTTGCATTTTAGGAATGCTCTGTCAGATATTCCTAAATTTATACTTAATTTTGCAGGTCTAAAAAACAACAAACTTCTGTTTTCACACTGAGTACTCTTTAATACGCAGGCCCAAAGAAAGATCTCGTACCACCCTCAAAGGCCCACTGTGATGACTTTGCCAGGCATTTCAGGGAGAAAATCGCTCAGATTCGTCACGAGCTGGACTCTACTATTGAACCAGATTCTACTGAGGGGGACAACTCCAAGCATTCTTGGATGAAACTGATTATCTGGACCCATTTCAGTCCGGCTTCAGACCCGGGTACGGCACTGAATCTGCTTGGTCGCCCTATATGACGACCTGCGCAGGGAGAGAGACAGGGGGAGTGCGTCCCTGTTGGTTCTCCTGGACCTCTCAGAGGCTTTCGATACCATCGACCATGGTATCCTTTTGAATAGGCTAGCGGGATTGAGAGTTGGAGGCACTGCGTGGCGGTGGTTCCGCTCCTATCTCAACGGCCGATTTCAGAAGGTGGTGCTGGGGGACTATGGCTCTGCGCCATGGCAGTTATACCATGGAGTTCCGCAGGGGTCCATTTTGTCCCCCTTGCTATTCAACATCTACATGAAACCGCTGGGAGAGGTCATTAGGAGGTGTGGGCTGCGGAATCATCAGTACGCTGATGATACCCAGCTCTACCTCTTGTTCTCCACCAATCCAGGTGAGGCAGTG